CTTGGATTCCCGTTCGCTATTTAGCGCGGCTTGGAAGGCTGCCGAACAATCACTACGCCGTTGCTCCCGGCACTCGGTCTCCCAGGACTGTGTTTGTTCCCAGAATTTCTGCTGGCGGGGCACGTTTCCACTGGTGGTGCTCTTCTAGAGTGTTCGTGGCATAGCCACGTCGAAATTTTCAGGAGAAACATGCTTCGTGCGCTCCGTGCCACGGCTGCGACGAGATGAACGGCGTCACTCACAGTGCGGTGAATAGTTCGTGAACATGAATACGACGCTGATAATGATTTAACTGGTAGGACACCCAATGGAGACCACTGGTGACACCACTGCCAGACTAACTTTTCTTTCTCATCGCCATACACAGGTTTTATTGTAAATATTGCCACCGGAGGCTGGACGGGCGACCCGTCGCTCTGCAGCACATGGCGCGAACCGACTCGGCCACAATGCGCATGTTCTTTAGCTGGCTAATGGTGAGCGATAGACGCCAGACACGGGCCAAGCGGTGCTGCAAAAAACGCCTCCACCAGCGCCCTCATCGCCGTGCTGGCAATAACTGGGTAGTGCAAAGAGATCTCGATTGATATATTGATATAGTGTTTAACGTCCCAAAACTACCATATGATTATGAGAGACACCGCAGTAGAGGACTCCGTAAATTTCGACCGAATGGGGTTCTTTAACGTGCACCCAAATCTGAGCGCATAAGCCTACAGCATTTTCACCTCCACCGAAAATGCAGCAGCCGCAGCCGGGATTCGATGCCGCAACCTGCGGGTCAGAGTGAAAAGAGAGCCGCCCGCAAGTGAACGTGCATAGGCCCTCTTTTTTCATTGGTGTTCAGGCATCGTTTCCTGATAATCAAGGACCTGTCAAGCTTCTAACGCCAATGCAACCTCGCTTCGAAAAAGTAGGAAACTCATCAAAGTGAACTACGGGTACAACGACAAAAATGTTTCAGTTTATTTGGGCGTACCGCAACTGTCAACCTAGGTGCAAGCGTGTGTCGCATATCATTGAGTTCGAGGCAATCACTCATTCCGACGTGCATTCTGTAATGCCTAAATGCGTCAAATTCGGGCGTACGCATAATGCCAAAGCGATAAAGTGCATACGCGAGCAATGTATCTTACGATCAGCGAACTCGCTTTATCAGATGGCCCCGGCGATTTTCACCTTTGCAGCTGCATTCTGCCCCCATATCTCGCTTTTTGTGCATGGAACTATTTTATTACACATCCCAGAAAGTTCTGTTGACGATTTCCTTTCTTTTTTATATACTGCAAATCAAAATCCATGGATCTCCACTTTCTCGGTGTGTAACAAAATGCAAAACCGAGGCCTCCGAGATAGCTCCGACAATCACTGAGACCAACGGCAAAAAAAAAAGCCTTATTGTGGTCACGACCAACGTTTTGCGATTAACCTGAATGACGTAACTGTTAGCACTTGTTAAAGCCCAGGCTTACAGCCTTCAAAGCGTATACGTGAGCGATGCTGTGTGGTGGCGACCAGATCAGTTTATCGGGGGTCGTGGCTTTTGCGACGTTTTAAAGCCGTCACCAGTCTGCATTTAACACGGCACCCCATGATCAGAGGATCTGTTAAGCTTCATAATCAAAGTTACCACGCTTATCCGTCAAGGCTGCTCAGAACAATAACAGAAGACTTACATATTCACACTTTCTCATGTGATTGCCCGTACACAACGAGAGTAATTCTCTTACCCAAACACGTTCGCAACGGCCCGTATCGAGCGCTCTCACCGTTCTACTTTGCGAGAGCTACGGGAATCAGTAAAATTGATGTCCTTTACGTCAGTGACAATGCACAAGGCAACAGTAGCGCGACTATAGTCTTTCTTCGTAGACCGCGGAGCTGTTGCATCTGCTCTTATTTTCGCCGTCGTTCTTGTGAGGGAACCAGCAAGCACTTCATGGCGGTTCAGCGTTGTATCCGACTAGCGGAGAGAATTTCGTAGCTCTTTTTCTTAGTGTTCTATTCAGAAACACGCCTATTATTTAGCCTTATGTTGTTTCGCACACACTGATTACACATGGTTGAGCAGCGAACTGTCCAAGAGAGTCGGGCTTGGCACAACCCAAAACTGCGACGACAGGTGGCGCTACGTGTCTGCAAAACTCCCGAGTTTGACGTCTATACACACTATAGCACTGGCGGAACTCGTAGAGTGGCAACGCTAACGTGTTCTTGTTATCACTGGCGAGACGGCGCTGAGGTTGCAATGCATGGGCTCCTCAAGAGGGCGTGGTCAGTCGTGCGCGTGCGCACTCATCTCGTCATTTCGGAAGTTCGTACGTCTTGAACGGGTATACGCTGAAGTTGCAGAGAGCACGAACATGACTTCTCTCGCTGCAGAAGCCCCGCTTTTTCGAAGACGCACACTGCTCGCCAACAAAGTAATAATTACGACAGTTGCTGGTTCACGCTCGTCCTGTGTATACTTGTACGTCCATTCCGTGCGTCCTTCTTTGTGCTTGAGCAGAGCCCTTTAGTGTCGTACTGTGAGAGCTGCGCTGTTAGGTTGCGATCGTCTCCATGAGCCTTTTCTACTAGAGGAAGGGACTGCAAGTTTCGAGCGGTTTCCGTTCTCCATGTGGCACTACAATTCGTTGCTATAGCATTGATTCCTTGCACCTCGTGTCGAGAGAAAGCCATACGTTCAGCTAGCTCTGTGAAAAGGCGTTTTACTTTTGCGTGACATATATTCTTATGAAAGAGAGATCAGTAATGTTTAAAGGGGGAGGGGGGTTCGTTGTACATTTAATTCTAGGTAATAAGAATAACTCTACGGATTCTTTGTCGAGTGAATGTAATTTCTTCATTGCGGTTCCCACGTTCGCTCTCACCACAATATCAATTCAGTAGTTAGTTTCAGTAGCACAAGTATCGCAGTAGCGACAACTTGTGATGGTCGCTACACTCTCTATGTAGAGTACAAATATATGCAATGTAATATTGTATGCTATGAAAAAACACAAGAAGGCGGCACAAAGATTAGGACTTAACTGCAAATAAATTGCAACGTTACTAATAGGTAAAACTTAGTCGAAATAACAATCATACCCTGTTGTGATCAGGGGCGTAGCCAGAGGGTGACAGACCGGCGATTACACACCTTCCCCATTACACACCATCCACATTTTTTTTTCACCGTGGCATAGATAGGGGAAAATGACCATTTGACAGGGTGGCCCCCTTGATATCAATCAAGTAGCCCCCCCCCCTTTTAACACGAAAAAAAAATCCTCATTGCGTGTCTAGTTGTGGCTACTATGTTCACTGTTTAGAGTTCACAATATTAGTTTTACTATAGCAGACCGACTTTTGCATAGCTCATAATTTCACAAACTGAACGGAATCGATTGTAGTTTATATTGTGTATTACAGCTGCAACTATAAATATTTGAGCCAGTTCCACACCATGGAAACCATCGGAGTGTGCACCGTGAATGCAGAAGAACGTGCAATTGACTGAAGCATCTGATTCTAATTTTCGTTATCATATTCATCATTGTCATCATCATTTACGAGCATCATCATCATCATCACATTTTTTTTTACTTTTTTCTCACCCCTCGTTTGGTCACGTGTGTCGCAGAATACGTGCAACTACTTATAATACGACTGGTACTACTGCTACGAGGACGACAGAATATTGTTGACCAAGACCACTTAATTATGAAAATCCTAAATTGAGTGGGTAAACTGGGTACACTTGGGTAAACATATCTCGTAGACAAGATGTTTTCGACGCGATTACGCAAGGCCGGTGCGCGCATCCACGCGGCAGCGTTGAGCCTTCCGTGGATGTGAAGCCGCGGCGGGGATGTGAATAGGGGGAGGGGTTAGCGAAGCCGCTGACCTTTCCGTTGTCATAGCCGTTATGTTGGTCGTTCTTATCGTCATCGTTACCGCAGTCGTCATAGCAGCAGTAAAAGTAGTAGCAGTAGTAGCAGCAGCAGTAGTAGTAGTAGTAGTAGTAGTAGTAGTGGCTGTAGTAGTAGTAGTACTGGTAGTAGTAGTAGTTGTAGTAGTATTAATAGTAGTAGTAGTAGTAGTAGTAGTAGTAGTAGTAGTAGTAGTAGTAGTAGTAGTAGTAGTTAGCTGTTCTTGTCATTATTGTGGGTGCACGAGCCGACGGAATTGGTCATGGTGACACTGAAACAACTGTTCCGTGAAAGCGTGCCGTGGAAGGAGCATCTCACCGTGAAAGATTCACAGGCCCAACTTGACGATCAAATAATGGAGGTACGCATTAGAAGTGGCAAATCGGGAAATTATTGTAAAAGCGTCCCTAAAATAGTTTTGTTGCAAAGCGCCATATATTATCAAGTATTGTTGGCAAAAACTGGCTAAATATCTGGTATTTTTGGATAAAAACTAGTACATTATTGCCTGAATGCCTGTCAGCTGTACGTCGCTAAGACAACAAAATTATGTTCGATAAGCGAGAAATATATATTTCAGCTTTGTGCCAATCTTTTTTCAAGGCACCCCTCGTTTGGTACGCTCAATAATATCCTAATTTCACTATTTAAAAGCTAAAAACTTTCACACTACAATCATGCCTGAAAGCACATAGCACTTGGGACACTGCTTGTAAATGCTCGGAATTATTCTACATAAACCAATGTTTGAATATATTCAGCGCGCCTTCGTTTTTTTTTTTTGTTACAGCAATCACTGACTTACGTATCTTGAGGCCCTGACTCAATTGTGCGACGATATTAGGGGCAAAAATCCTTCATTCAACATGGCCACTTTCTGCGTGCCTTGGCTGGCCTGTGCTCAGAAGCCTGAAATTTCTAAAAACAGCATCGTAGATATGTTGCAGAAAGCTGATATTGGAAAAAATGCACGGCTAGAATTCTTTAGAGTACTGACACTTCTAAGAATATTCCTGCTGGTTTTAGTTTGAGCAGTAAAATATCCGTACAGTCACCAATGAATACAGGATTAAGAAATCGATTCAGTCGTGTATTGCATTGCATGTATTGTATTAATGTATTCATGTACAATGTTATTAACAATGAGTTGACAAGCTGACTCAGTCGAAGAGGTAGACTTTTTCTCCTTTTTCTACGGAGTCCGCAACCTTGTTGAGAAGATTGGCGATTCTTCTTATGTGTTGAATCGTGATGTCTTCAGGAGCAAAATAGGCGGTGTCTTCGGGTGTGTAGGCAGCCGGAGACTGCTCAGCCGACTGTTGGAGCCCCCTGCCTAGCTGCTCCAATATCAAGCCAAGGAGTTTCTTCCAGTACGGTGACGTTGCGTCATCTGTGGTATCAGGTATGACATAAATAGAATCTAAAGGAAGGCAAACAGAACGAAAAGAAAATGGTTTTAGGTAAAACCCAGCCGAAACACTCCAGTTAAGGTTAACTGTGTTTTAATCAGTAAGAAAGCTCGAAGAAAGAACGTCGCATAACTGAGGCTGAAGCAGAGTGACTTTTGGCTTCTAAACTTTTGTTTGAACGTATTATATTCACAATGAATGCTAGGGCAAAGTTTGTTGGTCGCAATGCGCAGCTTACTAATAAAACTGTGCTCGAATTGTACACTATCCAAAAGAGTAGGCACAAACAGTCAACAAGTTCACTAGCATAGTATTGCATGCAGTAACGGCACAACGGTGTAAAAAAAGAAATACTGCGAAAAGCAGAACGCCATTTATTCGCATTATGTCAATATACTTTTGCTGACAAAGTAACCATCACTGAAATTTATTATTAGGAGAAACTAATTGTTTTTCATAAACAACCTGTGAGGAAAGTAATAATAAAACGCATAACGCAATTGAAGGCCCCAGACAGTACACTACACGACTGTTTGAGGATGTCGTTTTGCACACTGTTAATAGCTGACAATATAAGTGGTGTTCGCAGCGGTGTCAATGATATATAATGCGCCGACTGTGCGTGAGAACTACTTGAGATAAGGCAGAACACCTGCGTATCCAATACACCACTTTTTACACAGAGTCCTAAATAATGCGACCAATGCGTCGCCTAATTTGAACAATGTGTAAGAGGGAATAGTAAGTGCCGTAATCATGTACATACGAAAATTCTACTGAGTTTTAAACAATAAAGGAACACAACTCGTACAGTGAACATAGCTGGCTAAAAATATTGCGTTGCTCTCTGCGAAGTTGGCTGAGCAGTGGAGCTGACTTTTGCAAAATCTCCTTTGCGAGCTGTCTAAAAAACGACTGAGCATTTTATTTTAGTTTCTGGCTTTCTCCAGAGAGCTGCCTTTGGACCACGTCAGGTTTTCTTTCATCAGTGTTTTGAGCAACCCTTCAATGGGCTATGCTGAACAAAGGTATTGTATATTATTGTCGCGTGCCACCCATTTTCATCACGTGCATGATACCCCATGTCGGCCTTACATGATGTGCTCCTCACAGCTTTCAACCTTAACGAATTTTAATGAAGCCTTCAAAGAGATTGTCTTTTTTTCTTTGCAGTAGCAGTACCCTGGGTGTATAGCAGAATTGATTGTCTAATACATCGATTGATTGATTGATTGATTTATGCATGTGTTTTAACGTCCTAAAACCACCATACGATTATTAGAGACGCCGTAGTTGAGGGCTCCGGAAATTTCGACCACCTGGGGTTCTTTAACGTGCATTCAAATATGAGCACACGGGTCTACAGCATTTTCGCCTCCATCGGCCTACAGCATATCCGCCTCCATCCCGCGACCTGCGGGTCAGCAGCCAAGTACCTCAGTTACTAGACACCGCAGCGGGGCAGGCGTAGAGCCCTATTGTATTTTTAAACTGTTTCTAATTCTGCAGTCATGGTTGTGTAGCGCACGAAAGAAGAAAACAAGGGACGTGTAGCACAGTAGTTGGGGCAATCGCCTAAGGAGCGCGGAGAGGGAGGGGGGGGGGAATCAAATTCGAGTCCCGAATTTTTCTCTGGGGACATTCCCGTCACGTTGTTGTCTTCACATTCTGTCTATCTATATACATGCATATATATGCATAATAGCCACCTAGAAATATTACCCAGAACAAAAAATTGGCCCCGAATCTGCATGTTACAGTCCAAAGGTCGTGGAAAGACGATAGTCTTGCGTCTGGAGAAAGTGAACAAAATATTTGTTGTTATGCGCAAGACAATTGGTGAATGGTCTTCTGGAGGTACTGCGTTAGAGTGCCTCGAGCGTGCAGCGGATGCGAACGAGCGCATCAAAGCACATTAGACACGAGCGCCATCTGGCAGTTATCTTCAAAAACGAAGGCATGAGCGCCTGCGGAGAAAGATGCGCGCCTGTTTCGGAGGTGATAAGGTGTAGAACGCTAAGCGACAGGCAGGTGCCACCACCGTGTCGTCTTAGCAAAGCGTTTAAAACACCTTTCTGAGCATCGCGTTGCACTGTGTGCGCAGCGCGATAAACGGTACAGTCCATAGAGTTACTTGTGTGTGCCTCTTCTAGTATAAAAGCACACATACAAAACATCCACGTGTTGTTATGGCGCCTAAGATATGCGCAATAATTGTTTTTTAATTGCCAATCGCACAATCGTGGGCGCTGAACCTTGAGCAGTATTGGTATGCGCTGCAGATAGGGTTGGCCGTTTGGTGCCGTTCGAGGTATCGTTAAGAGCGCCCAAACAGACAGATGTACCGACCGACCAACAGACCGACCAAAATTTTTTCGTCGAAGGTCCCCAAGAAAGATTATCGTCTTTAGAAAAGCTGAAGCGTGTGAATGGCTGTTCCTCCCCACTTTTTGCTTTGTTCATTTAATAATAATACTTTATTCTGGCATGTGTACACAACAGTTACATGCCACCGAGATGAGGCAAAAGGGAACAGACGAAACTGTTTCCTGACTAGGCCTACATCCCGGCTCGTAAAAGAAAAAGTGAGACATATACTCGTGTAAACAGTTTCATGAACAAAAAACAAAAAAAAGAACAAAAACAAGTACAGTGGTGAGGAAAGCGAAAAACATCCAGTACAGCACAATTCATCAGCATCACTGTAGAGAAGTCATGGAATTTCAAGCAATATTGCTACAGAAGTACGAAAACCTCAAAAACACTATTTCATGTTGATATGTCCATCAGAATAAAGTTGTGAATAGATTTATAGAATGAAGAGCTCCAATAGTATCCATCATAATTCAGAATTCAAGTGGAGCTAACAATGTGCGTAGCTTAACAATTGAAATGCAGTGAAGTACAATGCAGTGAAGTACAACCCGGTGAACAAAAGTATGCATCGTAAGTGGCAAAACATATTCCGTCAAGCACTTCATCCTGGATCGAAGAGTAATCTTATTTTCTTTTTAAAATGATGTACAGATCTGCTTATCTGTGATAAATCTACTACAGAAGAAAAACTATTACATATATCTACTATTTGATGGTCAAGTGTTTAGGTACCATAATTGGTTCTAGATCGTGCTGAAACAAGTGACGTCCTTCGTAACTTATAATCAATGTGACGAGTGAGGTACATATTGCTGAATGAAGCAAAATTTTGTTTTATGCGATTATAAATAAGAACCAACACTTTAAGTTTGTAGCATTCAGTGAAACACAATACACGAAAAACAGAAAATAAATTGCTATGTCTATGTTTATCTGGCCTTTTAGTTATTAGCTGCAATGCTTTTTGTTGCATGGTAATTAATTTTTGTGCATTGGTCCTATTACATGTGCCCCAAACTAAGTTGCAGTATGTGAGGTGCGAATGAACGGGAGAAAAGTATAGCTGCTTTGGCACCTAATGTGGAAGAAGATGGTTAATACGGCTGATAACATCAATGGATCGAGCCATTTTCAGTTTTACATGACTCACGTGATCAGACCAGCTCAAGTCATTGCGAAAGTGTACGCCCAGAAACTTGCAGCTACTGGTACATGTTATTTCAGAATTACCAAAATAGAGTTTTGGGTTGTGGTGTATTGCTTTGTTTTTAGCGCGGAATAAAATAAAATTAGTTTTTTTTTCACGTTTAACCTCAGCTGGTTTACCCTCAGCCATCCCTCTAATTCTTCAAGCCAACTGTTCGCTCTCTGCTCAAGTTCTTTTAGGTTGGGACCAGAAAAGAAGATGTTGGTGTCATCGGCATATAGGATAATGTTCGAAGATGAAGGAATGTTTACAATATCATTTATGTACAAAGTAAATAGAAGGGGTCCTAATATTGATCCCTGAGGTACTCCATATTTTATTGTTCCGTTGTTAGAGCGAGTGTTGTTATGTAGCTTTGTGTATTGTTGACGTGCAGTCAGGTAGCTTTTCATAAGACTTCTTGCAATGCCACGAATTCCATAAATTTCTAGTTTTGCTAAGAGAATGTCATGTTGAACCGAATCAAATGCTTTACTGAAGTCGAGAAATAGTCCGATAGTAAAGTGTTTCATTTCAATGTTTCGAATTAAGACATTTTTTATATAAAGCAATGCAGTTTAGGTCGAATTCCCAGGTTGAAAACCGTATTGATGATCACTTATCACATTATTTGCGGAAAGGAAGCCAAAGAAACGTGTATAAATTATTTTTTCAGCAACCTTAGAAAAAATTGGCAGAACTGAAATTGGCCGGTAATTACCGAATTCTGTTTTATTTCCACCTTTAAAGACAACAGTAACACGTGCTATCTTTAATCTATCTGGGAACACGCCAAGAGCCAACATCTGATTGAATATATAGGTCAGCGGTTCTATAAGGCAACTAATAGAATTCTTGATTGGCAATGGTGAGATGTCATCATCACCAAAAGCACAAGTATTTTTTAGAGAATTAATAATGGTTGTGATTTCTGCTTCTGTTGTTGGCGTCAGAAATATCGAGTCATAGTTAGGAATCTGAATGCATGACGTAAGAAAGGTATTATTAGGCAAGGGAATTGAGCCGGCATATTTACCAGCTTCCAGGAAGTGTTCATTGAATTTTTCGGCTAATGCAACACCGTCATAAATAATACCCTTAACCAGCATTTCGACGGGTGTTGTGTTAGCTTTGCTGCCGATGAGAGTTTTAATTCCTTTCCAGATCTGCCTAGGATTGTTACCCATGTTTGAAAACTTTCTTCTGTAATAAGACGACTTTGCTTTTTTTAGATCAGCATTTAGCACATTACGAAACTTTTTGTATTCAGCTAATAGCTCAGAACTTCTTGTTTTAACGAATTCAGCGAACATCAAGTTTTTTCTTTTATTCTCATAAAAAGAGCCTTGTTTATCCAATCTTTACGGGCCTTTCTGTATTTTATAATTGCCATAACAGGAAAAGCGACATTGTAATGGTTAATAACCTTTATAATGAAGTTTTCGTACGCTTCATTTGGATCGGTTTTATGGTAGACGTCTGTCCAATCGGTTGTTTTCAGCAACTCACAGAAAACAGCGATATTATTGAAATCATTCGTTCTACGTGAATGGATAGGGGTTGTTCGTTTATTACTTAAAGGGACAAATACAAAGAACGGCAAGTGATCACTCAGACCAGACGAAAACACTCCGGAAAAAACCGCGTCTCGAGAAAAGTTCGTGTAGCAAAGATCTGTTAATGTTGCTGTTGATTTGTTTACTCGTGTTGGGGACTCAATCATATTTGTACAGCCATACAGTAGCATTCTTTCTGTTAAGGCCGCTTGAATCGGAATTTATGCCTTGCATCAGGAGAAGTTTCCGCTGATTCATTAGTTCGTTCCACCACTCCATAGAGGGTAGCTCAACAATAATGCCTCAAGGTACGTACATGCTTCGGAGTCAGTCCTACTGTTTTTAAATGGCAAGCATTATTTTCCATACTGCAAGCACTTTTGGTGTCCGCCTGTTCATCCGTCCGTCCATCTGTCTGTCTATCTATCTATCTATCTCTCTATCTATCTATCTATCTATCTATCTATCTATCTATCTATCTATCTATCTATCTATCTATCTATCTATCTATCTATCTATCTATCTATCTATCTATCTATCTATCTATCTATCTATCGATCGATCGATCGATCTATCTATCTATCTATCTATCTATCTATCTATCTATCTATCTATCTATCTATCTATCTATCTATCTATCTATCTATCTATCTATCTATCTATCTATCTATCTATCCATCTATCTATCTATCTATCTATCTATCTATCTATCTATCTATCTATCTATTTAGCCGCCTATGTCTGAGTATTCTCATATTCACCTCTTTAACGCGGGGTAGACCAAAATTAGTACGGGATGTTTAAATGATTTGACGAATGCGGCTCGCTGGCCATCACATGAATAATGTCACAATTTGGTTGCTTACGTCGTCAACCACTTTGAAAGAAAAACTGTGGCACATTCCTGAGGCGGATGTCTGCCACTGGTATACGGGTATGTGACACAGGTGGTAGATATTTTATACCAATCCAGTAGCGGCCCGAACACATATAGGTATCTTAAACGCTTGAGAGTTAAGAAAAAGCTGCCATAGGCAGTGTTGTCCAGACGAATGCAAGCAATAAATGCCGGTGTCTCAGCAGGATTCGATCCCTATCGGTAGCACTCTACGTGGCAATCAAATATTCTATGACAGAGCCACACCAGGCCTCGAAAATATCTTTAAAGTAGACCCTATGTTCGGGAAACGTCCAATATGGTTGCAGTACTGGCTATCAGATTTTATGAACATTACATATGTACTCATATAATACAGCCGCCATGTCGGGTTAAGTTGAATTGTAGTTAGTTGCCATCCGCCGAAGTTGATTTGTGTAGCAGTGCTCTTCACAATCTTTGCGCGCACCAGCGCAAACACCAGCGCTTCATATCAGTTTTTCCCCGCTGGTGTTGCTAATATCATTACACAACTGTGACAGCTGCTAATATAAAACGTATGCGGCTGTTTATCCTATATGTGTGCGTGAGTTTGTAGATATATTCAGGGCCACTTTATTACATCTCGCTTAATAAAAAAACACATTCCCCTTCCTGCCGCATGCTTCGCATAACATCGATTCCTAAGGTAGGTGGGATCCACCGAATTTCGTTTTTAGTTTATGCACGCGTGGCACAGCTGGAAAACTATCATGGCAGATTGGCAGGAAAGTACTGTTTACACTGCTTAAGCGCTTTGAAGCCACGTTTTTTCCCAAATGTGCCCAAGTATGAACTATGGCATTTAACTGTATCATTATAAATTATTATGTACTGTGCAAAAATAGGCTGTGGGAGAAGAGGAGATCATAGAAAATAGGGTTTGCAACAAGCCATTTCACGTTCCTTATCTTACTGACTTTCAGATACGCCAACACCTTCAATATGAACCAACTATACTTCCCAAGGAAGTAGTATTGCCATATTCTAGCTATCATCTAACAGGGACCAACTTTAAGACGACTTCGTGGTGCAGTGCCTAATTTAGCTAATAACACTGATTCACTATTATGCACACTACACAATTACACATCACAATATTTACTCCAGCATAAATATTTCTGGAGGAAATGCTTGTTGTGCATATATTGTATTCCTTAGAACACTGATACTAGGTGTAATAAGTGTTACGCTTACCTTCGTTGACTTCGTCTTGTCGGTACCTGCAGGCAAAAGTATGAACATAATTTTTACCCGTTTGAATAATTAACTCCATGACAAATATTTGAATGCGTGGCCATAAAAAAACTCTCAGTCCATCAGTTGACGTAGAGTTTCTCGCTACTTACTGGAGGTTCCCATCTGAAATTGAGATTAAGGTTTAATATATTAGAGATATCTGAAAACATTTACAACAGCTAAACAGTTAGAAGTTTCACTTACGAGTTGCCGTCAAAACAAGAGCGACCGCGACAAAGAAAAGTGTGACCTTCATTCTGGTAATGACTCCTGTGGCAGAAAACGTTATGAAGACTTTGCAGGTCAGCACGCCTGCAGACGATAGGTAAGATACGTTTTCAGTGATGTGTCGCACAACTTACGTTTTAGCTGAGCACGACTTGCGTGTCGTTCGCTACTTGAGGTTCATCACGTTCTAAAATAACCGATCGGTAGCGAGCGACTTCTTAACTATCGCAAGGCACTAAACTTACGTAATTTATATCACTATTGCCTAAGTTGGTTCGTTTTTGTTTCAGAATCATGCCGGTTCTTTTGACAAACCTATGGTGGGCTTTTAGAGCACATCTCACAATGTATTCTCTGACTAGGCCTACTATCTATATATTTTAAACCTTCAGGTAGTGCCTAATTATGCAAATGTAGTCTTAATAATATGATGTGAGCAGCTGCGAGCACGCAAAATAATAATCTAATTACATAAAGTAAATGATACAGCGGCAACAATAAGGAAAGTCGGCAGAGTTTGTATGGCTGAATACTGAAATATTTGTGCAAAAAACAAGATTACTTAGACTGCGTTGGTCCATATGAACCTTTAGTGTGTGTCCTAGTGTTGTGTACGCAAAGGTTTCACGATATAGCAGCCGCTTCCTAAAATTTCCCAGTGCAAATTTACTATCCTGCGCCTCAACGTGCATCTATGTAATCATCTTGAACATTTTACTCGCTTTTCACTGAAGTGCCAACTATTCTGATGCACAATGTGAACTCATTGGATCGTTCAGCACAATATCTTCAGACCACTCAGTCGGAATTGATCTATGGCAAAAATACTACTACGTGAAAAGAAACATTATCTACGATAGAGCATCGCATGCGTTATTTAAAGTTCGCAGGTTCGGATTCTGCCAGTGCCAAGCTATCTCTTCATACACTTGTTTTTCTTCGCAACTACAATAAAATCACTTCTACTATCATCTCGTGGGCTTTCCTTGTCATTACTTTATGTAAATACTCATTATTATGCTGTATAATACACAAAACGATCCCTAAAATTTTACACTTACCTACGTTGACGCAAGATCACTAAGCGCTATTGAAGAAGCTCTAAAAACGTGAGTGGTTTATGTCTTATATACGTTTTCTTACCCTCTTGCAACTTCGCCTCAGTTTTTTCTCACGTGGTATAGACAACCCGTTCTTCAGTAGAAGGCTACCTTATCTATCGGAAACACTTTTCCCGTGTAACTTCGCACAGATGTTCAGAGAAACCTCCGTGATAAGACGAAAGCCCGCTTTAGAACATCTCGAATGCACACTCGAACAGTTTTTTGCTGGAGGTAAGTAAACAGTAAAGCGAAGCGGTTGAAGGAAGCTTTGACAAAATTATGTACTTCATTCAATAGATGGCATGAATAAACTAAGTCATTCTATATTTTCTTTACTTTCTGTAAAGAAAATATACGCTATAGATAGGACACTAGGGGTATGAACAACAGTATAATGAAAGAAGGCCTAGGAATGGATGTGAGCCGAGAGTAATATTAGAGCAAAACGTGTCATTGACGATTGAGCTCATATAGAACAACTTAAAAAAAAGCCAGCGTGAAAGCATGGTAATCAGAAAAACAGAAGTGTGGCATATACAAAGATTCTGCGTGTACCTATTCAGAAATGCCACAAAATGTAGACTCAAGGGCAATATCATGCTCCGAGGGTCAGAAATAAAAAAAGTCAGCGAGAACTTTGCAACTGTGAGGTGACTTTAGTTCTTAGGTTATCGTTAGAGAAGTGTCAGCTGTATTATACTATCATCATGAAAGGCTTGCATAATTAGTTAATGTCAATAAACATCGTGTTGAGCTGAAAAAAAACAAGAGGCCATCTGGAGAAAAAATTGCGGTTCACATTGTCCGTAGCATTTTTGTTTCAGTAGTGAAATGACGGTTGCCACGTCACAGAATCAATTCAAAAGTTTAATGTTAATTTATCGTATTTAAACATTTCTTGCTCGGTAGCTCCGTTAGGTTCAAGATAAGCGGTCATTATTTTAACATAGTTTGTGCAAAGAAACACAAGCTTCTGTTATGTGGTTTCTTTTATTACCGTACAGAAATCGACAGAAAGATCCAGGTTGAGAAATAAACGAATTACATGGAAGTTGGAAGAAACTTATTGTAGCCTACAGGTGGGCAAGAAGATAGCGAAGATAGGAGAGGAATAATATATAACGGCCAATATTCCACAATTCCCAAGCACAAGCAGATTACTGCAGCAACATGTCGACACTTGTATGGGCTGCCTTTATTGATTTGAAGTTAATTGATGATATTCTCTAGCAATGTCCTAATACTAGGACAACATGAAATGAGGCTTCTCCGGAGCTCTTAACACATGCTCGTATATGTGGTTGACTAAGATTTGTATGTCCCATTTGCAAAACCGAATAAAATTCCTAACGTTGCACTAGTCCTACTATCTTTCTCTTGGTTTTTCTCTTATTGATGAAGGCATTGCTAAAATCTCTGCAGACGACACACTTAAACGAGCTGCTGTTGACACTTAATAATGCCGTATACCACACAAAACTGCCGCTTTGCGCGGTTGTGTGTGAATTTGTGCTTTGCCTATCTTTGTCTCTTTTTGTGTTTAGAAAAAGTTTATTTACAGCATGTACAGAACACAAAGCTTCATACCATTCCAGTAACAGGGCACATACACTTCGGCACATCTATATTTCACGACTAACATCACTACGTTACAGTGAAGACATTTGCTCTAATATACATGATTATGTTGGCATACATGTACACAAAAACTCAATGTGATATCACGATACAAGGGTATAACGATACAATAGATCGAAATGAAACACAATTTGTAACAAATGAAATCATATATAACAACTCAACGGGCGCTGCTTAGCACCAAGTCGGTCGAAAAATGAGTTTTATCCTTTCGTGTTCCACTTTGACGAAAGGGCACGGCCAATGCCGCAAAAACTCTTGCTCCCCGAGGAAGAAAAGCTCTTGGAAGAGGAACGCGAGGATCTCTCGTCTCATTCTCCCCAGTATCAGCCACAAGGCACGCCGGCGGCAATTGGTAGCTACGGCCTCACATCGGTTTCTCCAAAGGCTGAACAGCCCCGCAACTATTAAGAGAGCGGAGAAGCGGCTACGCGGAAATCGGCCGTTGGACAGGAAAGTTCGCACACCCTGTCCCCGAAAACCAGCATTAACCGCACGCCAAAACAGGCGGGAAACCACACATTCAAACGTCGCATGTCGATTGGTCTCTACCATGACGCAGTTGGGGCAAGTGGAAGTGCGAACTACCTGCCATCGCTGCAACCAATCTCGCGTGGGGAGCAAGCCCCAGCCCAACCTCCAGACAAAGTCTCTGAGATGCCCTGGCAACACTGCGGCAGTTATTGGTTTCCAAGCGCGGTTCAATACAGATTGACGATGTTGGGGCACCAAGGGCCGTAGAAGGGCAGCCATTGTGTCCACCACTTTAGAATCGGCCACCTCTATTTCTGGGCAGGTAGCTTCCAAACGTCGGTGAAATGCCAGAAGGGCTCGATACAAAGATGGTAATTCAGTTGATTGGGGACCTTTGTTTATTTGGCTATCCGGCAAGAAGACACGTAGTGATGGCCCCAGATGGTAGCGAGCCAGTGTCTGAGCGGGCATGTCATCATTGCTTAGTATTCGCAATAGAGTGTGGAGGCACAATGTGGAAGCCGCGACGGAAACGTCAGGGAATGCAAAACCGCCTTGATCTCGCGGTTGAGCTAACGCTGGACGCGATAACAATTCTGTGCCACCAGACCAAAAAAATGAACTGATGCAGCTTTGCACTTTCCTGCAGACGTGGAGCGGTGGTTTAACAGAATGGCAAAGGTAGCAAAAGTTTCCTAGGTACACCGTTTGAGTTAAGTATCGGCGTTCCAAGAGGGGGAATTCGAAGTGCCTGGCTGCTTTGATATCATTTAGAAGAGTTTGTACAACGGATGACCAGATGCCATCCTCTATACCAAATACAGTGAAAGTAACTCCGAGTATTGAGTCTCCTTTCAATCTCCCCCGTTCCTTTCCCGTGTGCAGTGTAGCATATCGGTTATGCCAAACTGGTTAACATACCTCCATTTCGTCTCTATTATTTTCCTTTCTTTTCTTGCGGATTAGGAAGAGCTGTTACCTAATTAGTGAATTTATATTTCTTATTTATGCCTAGAAATGCTCAGCTAAAGATCGCTTTTATTAGACGATCGGAAATCACCTTTTAGGAGACAGCGAATTGTGTTTTGCGAAAAGTGTATTTACGTTGCCCGAAGACTTTTATTTTATGGCCTTAACAACTTTATTATGCACTCAGTTTTTTTACTTTATCTTGACCAATTTTGTAGGCATCAACGTTCTTTGTTTCTCCTTCAAAACTTTTATGTCTAAGAAATATGTTTTTCTGAGCTCATTTGTATACTTTCAAAGCTTAACACTTTTAGTGTTTCAATAGACCTAGTTTTCATTTCTTGGAACCATATTGGGGATATTCTAGGCTAATATCCTAAATGCACTGGAGCACTGTTTGAACATACTTCACCATCTATATTTGCAGCTTCTAGCTTCAGCAAAAAGTTGAGTTTTACCAAGTAAGGTTCGATTCATTAATTCAATTTATTGATAAAAGGTTCCTCGAATATCATATATGGCTTTCCTGAAAATGTGAACGTCATGATATAGAAACTTACAGGACTGTATATGAGTTCTATGGAACATCGCCGGTCGGTGGAAGGGCGAAGAAATTAAAAATGCAGCAAAGCAATTTGCGGACCACGAAAAGTGTCTTCGCCAACAAAAGATCGCTTTCCTGGAAAGTCACTGCACGTTTTTCTTTTGTGGCTTCGTGCTACAAAAAGGTGCCCCACAAAACGGCGCCCTTGTTGGTGTGTCTTGGTGTACAGTTGTCAACTGTACGACAAAACAAACGCTCTTTGCATTTTATTCGCAGATGTGTTGTTTTTAAAAGCACTACTATTGAAGCGTTCTATTTGGCAGTTGTTGATGAAGTTCTTGTCCTGACAATATCTTTTGTTCACGAAATGCTTGGATTTGAATGGGCTGAAAGCAAAGCACGAGATGAACTCAGCTTTGATTACAGACAGATGGCTGATTGATTGATTGAAATGTCGCGTTTAACGTCCCAAAACCACCATATGATTTTGAGAGATGCCGTAGTGGAGCACTCCGAAAATTTCGACTCACCTGGGTTTCTTCGGCGTGCACCCAAATCTGAGCACACGGGCCTACATTTTCGCCTCCGTCGGAAATGCAGCCGCCGCAGCCGGGGTTCGATCTCGCGACCTGCAGTTCAGCAGCCGAGTACCTTAGCCACTAAAACACCGCGGCGGGGCGACACATGGCTGAGAGACAGAGAGATAGACAGCCTGAAGTAAAGATAGGGAAGTCACAACTGGTAATCTCCAGTTCGTTCAACATATACTTGAAGCACAGTGCAGGGCAGTGCACAATGACACCGCAAAGTCGTGATCAGACAATACTAACCCAATGCACAAAATCTTGACCTTAAGCATAGGCAGCTTTTGAGAATACTAGCAAGGTAGACGAAAGTGAGATACCACATCCAATGAACTATACGCCTCGTGATTGGACAATGTTATTGATTACCTTAATACATTGCCTTACTCTCGCCCAGGGTAATACCGCGCACTGCCTGGCACTGTCCTTAATGTGGTTGTTAATAATAGCGCCAGGGTCAAGCAGGCACTCAGATGCTGTTGTGCGCTTATTCAAAGCAGTACACTGAGGACGATGTCACATTAGCATTGCCGAATTGGTGCTTGTAGCGGTTTTAATGCAGGTTACAATAGTACAGAAGATAAAGAGAAAAACCCAAACAAGCAGAGGCAATACCACCGCTACCGAACTGCGTCTTTGTGTATTTATGCGATGTGCAATGCCCTTTTGTTCTTATTCGTGCGCACAGATATCAACAAGCTGATAGATGAGGTTAGTGAAAGATGTTTGGTGTGGGCTAGGTAGTACAGCAAAGGGAGCAAGGGCAAACACTGTACACATGTTGGCCTACATGTTGGCCTCTAATGATTCAAGCCAATGATGCCACACAGGG